CAAACGTGGTTGCGTCCTTCTAAAGGGAGTCCATCAGCTTTATTCTGTAAAAATATAAATGCATAGCCCTTTCTCCAGGTGAATGGACCTGGATCCCAAACACAATTTCCATCTTCTTGGGACTTCTTAGGATCTCTGTAGAACTGAAAATGTGTTTAATTGCCCTAATTTTGTTATAAACTTTTAGTAAGGAGAAACATTTTTTTGTTAAATTGACCGAATGAAATTCATCATACATAGGGTTACTCTTCTCCCCATTCTGTTTTAACAATGCAGATATTAAAGCACTGCTGGCCATCTCAGTTACCTTGCTTGGTCTTAAACCATTAAAACTACTTATCAGCTTGCCATACTTTGAAAGACTGAAAATTTTAAAAAATAAATTTGTTCAGCTGTTTTTGAAGCAGTTTACCAAACAGACATTTTTTTTCTCCAAGTCTACCAGAAAAGTTGCAGGCTTAATTAACCCGCTTTGCCCTTCAGGTTTCTTACATTGTATGATTTTACAATCTTGCAATAGTTTTTCTTGGTTAACTTCACTCATTCCCTCCATGCTGGCTTTAGGGCAAGTTAATAGGCGGGTCTTAGGCCCTCCTGAATGCTCTAAGGCAATGATTTCATATCCAGAGCTTTTAAAAAACGTTTTCTCTTCAATTTCTAATTCCATGTGGTGGCACTGTCATCTCCCTACAACAGCATTCCGAAAGACCCCTTCATTTAAAGGGTGGTAGTCATATATTTTTATTTTAGAGATGCAGGGAAACAAAAACTGGCTTACACGATCTTCCTTCTTTATCAACCATGGCATATCAGAATTTATTATTGCCTTAATTTCTTCATAATCCTGATTAATAATTCCAGTAATAACCTGAGCACTTTGAGAATTTATGTTGGACTTTCCCAATAAACATCCTAGAGTTCTTTTAGGTAGCAGACCCCAATTACCGCTCTTAATAACTTCTGATATAATCACAGCTTTAGGCTTTTCCTTGCAACTCTGATCAACTCCAGTATCAATTTTAATTCCTT